GTCTCGCCGTTCATTGAGCCAATAGATCTCGTAGTTTCAAATGTTTGTGATGCCGGAATTCTGCCGTTTGCCTGGATTGGCGTCAACGGGAACGGTGGTTGGACTGATGGATCTCAGGCAGATTATGCTTGGTTCACTCTACCGAAACCATGGTTTACCCAGAGTTGCAAAAGTTTGTGTAATCAATTTAAAAATTTGAATCGCAAATGATAGCTGTACTTGTCGATGGATTTGCGGATGTGGATCGGTTAACGAGTGTCCTCGATTTGTCCGTAAAATGCCATCAAAGAATTACTGGACAATGATATGAATCCACGCTAAAGCAAAAGAAACGTGGTCAAAATTGAAAACCGACAAACAAAGATTATCTTTGGAATAAAGTGAAGGCTTAAACTCGATTTTAATAAATGAATCTTTGAAACACTTTGTTGACTTGATAAAAACCAAAATAAAAAAACACATTTGAATTTTGTGTTTTTGTGACAGATTTGTGTGACAAAAACGTGGCCAAGTTGATAAGCGCATTTTTTTTTTGAAAAATGCCCAAAAATGTGCCATTAGTCTTATCTTAAAAATCTTAAAATCTTAAACAATTCTCGACTTTTTCACCAAAAAGTCGGCAATGTATCGATTGCTTTTCTTTATTTTTGGTTTCTTTTGCTTCGTGGATGCATTTCATTGTCCAGAAGGAAGTATTGAAATACCGAATGAGGATGTGTGCATGTTTGTGGTTAATCAAAGTAAGCTTTTGAAAGGAAATGGCGTAAAATTTAATCAAAAACGGTTAAAATAGTAACTGAATCCATTAGAGACAAGCTTTGAACCAAAAATCAGTCAAAAGCTAAAACAAAAATCCCCAATTCAGCCAAATTCTACCTTGATGTCATTCGCTATTGTCAATCTCTTGGCGGAGTTCCAGTGAAAATTCAGAACATTTTTGAAAACACTTATGTATTCTCAATGACTCAGCAAGGTAATCCGATAAAATTAACATAAATTTCAATAGTTTAAGCTTTGAACAATCTATCGCCGTATATTGGAGTGGAAAGGCAAATGAATAACGTTTGGGCTTACGCTGATGGATCACCGCTCACTTATACGCATTGGGCTCTCAGTGGGTTTATTTGAAAGTTTTGATTGATTCTGTAGATAAATGTTAATCAATTCTAACTAGTTATCGTTTAGATGAACCAAATAATTCGAGCAATACAAGTCTTTGCACAATAATGGATCCTCAAAATGGATATTGGCTGGCAGCTGAATGTTCATTTGCGCGTCCATTTTTCTGTTCAATCAATGGAGATGGTAAGTCAAATGAAACCGAAATTGTATCCATATTACCTTCCAGATTTTCAATGTCCTGATGGCTGGCTATATAACGAACAAACTGATTATTGCTATTTCTTGCAGGTATCCTTCTTTTGAATCACCAGTGTTAGTTCTAGAATTTCACATACACTGATGGCGTTTATTGGCAAGCATACAATTTCACAACAGCCGAGACTAATTGCAGAAGAATGGGTTCTCATTTGGTCTCGATTCATTCAGAAAACGAAAACAATTTTGTGCTTGGTAAGTTCGGGATGTGACCCGCTTTAATCTTCGGGGATGATTTTGTTTCAGAATAGCCGAGTAGCACAAAAGGTTAATCGAGTTTTCCCCAAAACCCTCACAACATAACAAGAACAACATAACCTCACAACCTCACAACAACATAACAACATAACAATTCAGCATAAGGTTAATACTCGTGAGAAGAGCACAGACGGGATTGACACAACAGATCGATGGCAACACAAATATTAGCAAATTCTTTCTCTAATGTTAGACCATCTATCTAAACAGAATTTAGAAGCTTAAGAAAAAAAAATATAAATCAAATTTACTTTAAACTACTTAAAGTAAATGGGATTTATAGTTTTACGCTTCATTAGTACAGAATGAAAAGAAAGCAACATTACCATTACAAAAACAAAGTGCGCGTTTTTTTTCATTCTTTTTCATCAGATTCAAGTTCAAGTTAACTAAAACAAGACCTTAGCTAATAATTGAAAACCTTTTTAGCAACCAGCTTGGTGAACAACACAATATTCTAGGGTGAATCTCTATATCACTTTCGGAGCGGAGTTTTTTTTTGGAGGGCATAACTCAAGAACTAGAAGAACTCTTGTAAAATAGTTATAAGTTCCAGAAACTACAGAAAATTTGCTACATCTTTGGATTTTGAGCTCAATAGGTTTTGATAAACCCGTCATCATCTACGAGGCAAGAACCTTGCGCCAAATTTCGTCGACTACCCTGTAGAATCTTCATACAATTGGCACAAACTTTGAAGTTATCTTTAGATCTTGTATATGCAAACGTATCGGGAATACCGATCACAACTTCTGACAATAATTCATGTTATTGGCAATGGGCTTGGATCGGCTATTATGGGAATGGAACAGTTGGTGTTGGAACTTGGACTGATGGATCTCTTGTTGATTTTACATTTGGTCCGCTTATTTGGTCCGATATGTATTACGGTCTTGTAAGTGTGATTTTAAACCATAATTGCAAACGACTGTTATTGATTGACTACATTTTGTTAGATTATCTATTTTAGATTGCAAACGATCCGTCATGTAATTTCGGATCTTGGTCGTACGCTTTCAATGCTGAACAAAGCTTTTCTCGTTTCGTTTGCAAGAGACCGTCAAAGAGTCGTTTTGCCAAAGAAAGGGCATTTTTAGATAAATTTTGAATAAATCTTTTTGAAAAAGACGAAAATTAGGGGGCAATTGTCCGTTTAAAACGGTTTAACATTCAAAAACTGAAAGATCTATTCAAAAGACTTCTTTGTTCAAAATATTTGCCCAAAACTTTTGTTGTCCGCAAGAGTAAGTTAATTTCTTATCTCTACTCTGCAGAAAGTTCTATTGATTTTTGAATTTCTGTTCCAAAATCGGGTCAAAGCGGTTAAAAACAGCTGAATAGGTTAAGAATGTGGTGGTAAAAGTTGTTTTTAAGCATTGATTTACAAAAAGGGAAGATTTATGGTAATGTCTAACACCAAAAAATGGAAGAATTAGAAGAGTTGAAAGGTTAGGAAAGAGGTGTTTTGGTGGAACTGGTGTTGATCAAATGTGAAATTGCTATAAATGGAGAGTTCAGATAAAGAAGAGACTTTTCGATAGAAAGTGTTCAAAATTTTTGTCTACTAGCTACTGTAGTTAAAATTTGAATAACCTGAATTCTATTCTTGAGCTGATTCAGGTGCGAAGTTGATGTTTAAGTAAAGTAAACAGTAAATAGTAAGTAAAAGCTTAAGTAAACAAGGTTTTAGATCTTATCGTAAGTGTCTTATTGGCTGAATAAGAGTAAAAGTAAAGTTTATAATCTGTGACTTAGTTTTCCATCGTGTTTTTTCTCTTGTTTTCAAAGCACATCAGTTTCAAATTGAAAAATTAAATTATTTGTCTTTATCGCTTCCTGGTCATCCCAGATCCTTCAGTATTCAGTAATGGTCACTGTCAAACCAACGGTTTGAATGTTGGACCGATTTTCGAAACAGCTTCATTGCTCCAATTCCGATTTCAGTTCAATCACTCCACTTTGTTCGCAATTCTATTGAAAAGTCGAATCAATCATATCATTTGTGCCTAGTGGATGTCTATTTTTGGCACTATTTGTTCTCATCTCTTTACTCCCACAAACGATCGGGAAACGGCAACGAAGACGGACAAAATCTCAAATAGAAACATTTTAAGTTATCCGACGTATCGTTTTATTTCCTTTTTATGCTAATAATCTGCTTCCTGATCTCATTATCAGATGGTAAATGTAAAGAATTCGAGACCGAGTTTGAGCTTTTATTTTCAAACTTGTAAAGCCTTGTAAAGAAAAAGATTAATAGAATGTAATAAAACTGTTTGTCTATGATTGACTTTCTGTTGTTTGTAATTGGCAGGTACAATTTGAAAAGTTACCTGGAAAAAGACATACAAACATTTACTATTTGCCCAGTTCGTGAGAACTGAAATAAAAGGTGAAAAGAAGTGCATTGAGAGACTAAAAACTCTCGAAATGGTTAGGGAAGCAGGACAAATATCACTTTTTCCCGAAGAAGAGAAAACAATTGACATCCAGGTGAGTAAACCACACTCAAACAAGAAATATGCTTTCGAAGAGAAGGTTTCGTTTCATGAAATGGCTACTCATCGAACATTGAAACATTTATTCGTTTAATATTCAATGTTCTTTTTGATTTTCGTTCTGCAATTCTGTAGACTGATATTAGCTGAATTCAACTATGTTCAATATGGAGAAACAGGTAAAAATTAGATTCAAATTGTTAGAAACTTGTGAGAAAGCAATAAAATAAACCCCTCCAGCAATGAAATAACTCCTTCAGTCAATTCCCAAACCCCGAAAGCCCCGAAGTGCAAATTTTTAGCTTCAAATCTTATTTGGACGTCATTTTTAGAGCAAATTGACCAAAATTTTGATCATTTTAAGAAAATTGGATGAGTTACTTGTTGGACACGTCCGAATAGAAGTAGATGAACAAATGAATTATTCCAGTAGAAATCTAGTAACCAATCAACCAAAACCAATGAGCTTAGGACTAGCAAAACCTCAACCAGCAGATTTTCAATCGACCAATTTTGATTCAGTGAATTTATTCCACTGAACAGTCTTGGACTCCAAACATTGTGAAAGGTGCGTAGGGAACTGCCGAGAATTCTTCATCTCAAGAACTTGTTCGTAGGCGCGGCAAAGAACTATCAATGGACCTCAACAATGCCCAAAGATTTTTGAAAATAAGTATCTACAAAGCTGAATTCAATCTGCCATTTCTCTAATCTAGTTCAAGATTTGACCTTCCAAGGAGACCCCTCAGAAGAGTTTTCAAATTTTCAGAAGAGTTCTCAAATTACATGAACAATGCGTCGCTCATCTTGAAAGAATTATTCATCACACGTGAATATGAAAAAGAATTGGCGCCGATTTTCGTTCCGATGCCTGTTAATTTTTCGAGTGGGTTGGAAAGACTCTCAAGCTGGCAAACTCTCAGGTTTAGACAGTGAAACGAAAAGGATGAGGATCGACTTACTTTTGTCTTACGTAAGAGTCTTCAACTTGGTTTGTTGGTGGATGAATTCTTGGGTAAATAAGACGTTTAGGATGCTGAGAAACAGAGGTTTAATACGAGATTGGAGATCGAAATGGTAAGAATCACTAGATTCGAATAGAAGATTCGTTTAGCCATCCACTTGTAAAAGTAAATCCAGATCTGGCGTGATCCAAGGCTCGTTTGGGATAAGACCGACTTTGGAGGCGTCGATTCGATTGTAACTACTGCGGAAAAGCTGTGGATTCCTGACACGGTTGTGTCAAATGCGTAAGTAGTCTTTTGTATAAAAGAAAATCGTTACTAGAAATAGAGTAACCTGGGCTTAAGCCTAACAATAACTGATCGAATTTTCTTATGTACAAAGACTCTTGTCTCTCGAAAAGGAGGAAACGAGAAAAAGACTTGGTTCGATTACTCAGCAATACACTCAAACAAGGGATTGTAAGAAATATTTCTCTTCTAGACTTAGTACTCTTAACTATAGCCAGCTATTTCTTTGTTTAGACCTATTCTTGCTCTCTCAACTGTATTTTGAATGTGTAAAAACCGCACCTTTATGCCAACTTGTCGACGAGTCAGAACAGAGCTAATTAAGCAACTTTTACACCTATCAAGATGCAAAAAGAGAAAACAAACTTTATCAAAATTTTGTGGATTTAACTTGCAATAATTGAAAAAGAAGGGCAGAAACAACAAATTTCATGGCTTAAAAGGGGCAAAAGTCTACGCAAAGATATTTAGTTGAACACGGAGAGGCTACTGTATTGAGGGCATGGGGCAAAATGAAGACGTAATTCGAATATAATTTTCCCCAACTTGTGGTGGCTACAGGGATAGTTAGTAAAAGTAACAATCTTACTAGTAGATAGTTAGACTTCTTTGAAATCCTCAGGGCTACTGTAACTAGGACTTGTGCTAGTGCTGGACTAGTGCTTGGAATGTACTAGTGCTGGACTTTGACTAGTGCTTGGAATGTTTTACCTATTGATTCTGCTACATTTATAATTCCCCTAAAGCCAATAGTGCCCAACTTTGCACGTTTCCAGGAGAGTCTTGGACGAGGTGAGCGGGATCGCTGCTCAAGGTGCTCAGATCTACAGCAATGGCTCAATATTTCTCACAACCGCCTACTATTCCGAGACGGCTTGCTCAATAAATGTAAACCTCGGAAATATCTAACAAAATTTCCTCAAACTCAGGCTAACAAGTTCCCATTCGACAAGCAGAACTGCAGCTTACCGATTCTCTCTCTTTCCATGCAACCGTGAGACTTTAGAATATAAATTTTGATCACAATTCGTTTAGACAATGGATCTCGCTTTGGCCTAGAGTACTGCCTGATCTTGAGAATAATTTCGAGGTGAATTTGAGATCTTTGTAAAAGTTTGAAAATTTCAGGGAAATGGTGAATGGGAGGTGGTCGCCGCGATCCCGGTTACCTACTCAATCACGGCAAAACAACCGCTAGAAGTTGTAAGTTTTTGAAAAAGAGTTGCTTGAAAATATCGCCATTATTTTCTGTCAAAAATCCAATTACAGGTAGCTTTCATGATCACGATTAAACGAGAGCCAAACTTTTATGTCTACGTGATAGCTCTTCCATGTTTCATTCTGACACTTCTTTCACTGATTGGAATGCTCTGGTCACCAAATATTAAAGAAGATCAGCTAGCAAAGGTGGAAATTTAAGCAACAATTGATATTTGGCTTCAGTTAGCCATCGGTTTGACGAGTCTTGTGTCAATGACCGTTCTTTTGGATATGCTTGCTGATGCCATTCCGAAAACTCGCGTATTTCCTTTATTGGGTAAGTAAAAGATAAAAAAAACAGTTTTAAACACAAAGCATTTCCTTAGTAATAAATTCTATAATGTTATGGCGAATTACAGGGTCCGAGAAAAGTATTGTAGTTTTTCCAACCATCATATCTTTTTTTCAAAATTGAGCTTTTAACATATTTATTGAAAGAAATAACAGATAAATAACCAAAAATTCAAATTTATAACAAGTGTTCGAAATTGGACCCTTGGCTTTGATACAGGTTTTCAGACGCGAGATCACTAAGCCGACAGTGGCACGGAGGTAGTTGGTATCAATATCGTTCCAGGCAGCGATCAATTCCCTCTCGAGCTCACCAAGATTTGCGATTTTCTTATGCCTCAAACGTTCCTCTAAGAAGCCCCATACTGAAAAATCCAAAGGGTTGAGGTCCGGCGAGTTGCTGGGCCAGTCTTCTTTCGTGAAATGAGAGGGCAATTCGCGCCGAATCAGGTCCATTGTGGTTTTCGCTCCATGGACCGGGGCCCAGTCCTGCTAGAAGGCCATGTTAGGGTTTTTTCGACTCCAGGGGATCAGAGCATTCTTGAGAATCTGATCTTGGTAAACCTGGGCATTGATTTTGACATTCTTGTCGATGAAAACAAGCTGAGTCTTCGAATCCGCAGTCACTCCTCCCCAAACCATCAATCTTTTCGGAAAAAGACCCCGTGTCCGGATTTTCCGCTTCAAAGTGTTCTTCTGGGCCGGTGACATCAGTTGACGATGGTTTTGGGAATTGTGGGCAACTTCGATGGTAAAAATTTTCTCATCTGACCACAAGACGTCCTCGATGCGTGCCGTCTTAAAAAAACAAAGAAGCCGCTTGGCTTTTTGAACTCGATTGAATTTCGCATCATCGGTAAGAAACTGACCTTGTCGGAGACGATAACTATGAAGTCCCAGCTCCTTTTTCACAATGTTTCGAACCGACCAATCCGAGATTTTCAGCTCCTTAGTCATTTTTCCTAAGCTTCGCTCGTCGTTTCGATCAATTCGCTGTTTGATGAGCTTCCGGATGTTTGGCGTGTTCACCGATCGAGGTCTTCCTTTTTTCGGCTTCTCCTTGACGTGTCCTTTCTCTTGCAATTGTTTGGCAAGCCGTTGAACAGTTCTGATGTTGGTTTTGAGCTTTCGCGAGATGGCCGCCTTCGACGCTCCGGCTTTCAAAAGCATGGCGATCGCTTCTCGATGAGGGCAAACTTGCATTTCTAAAAATACACATTGAATGATATGCACCATTCGAAAGAGGAAAAAAAACTGGACAAAATCCATGTTTTACACAATGTAAAAGGATACTTTAAATCGCATAAAAGTTTGTTCAAAGAGACGCGACAATACTTTTCTCGGACCCTGTATGGCGATACCTTTTTTGAAAAAGTTGCTGGCAAGTGTTGCCCTGACTGGCCTGACTTATTAACAAAGTACCAAGTGTTATATAGGAAAATGAAGCCCTTCATCTTGCCATCATTTATCAAAGAAGAACATAGAACTTCCCGAATGGAATTGTACAACTCATTTTACAAGCTCTTGAATGAGCTCAAATTGTCACTTTTCCACTCTTCAGTGATCTGCCATTTTTGACACTTTTTGGCGCACAATCTTTCACCCAAAAAGGGATTCCTTGAATCAAACTTTTGTTATTTTGCTTTAAAAGAGCCATTGAACAAAAATATAACGCTGGTGAAGCTTATACAAAAAGATCTTCCTGTCAAATGGATATTCGAAAAAGCTCAATTTTCCTTTTTTTACGGAGTTTTCAAATGAACTTGTAAAAAATGAGAGCTTGTAAAATAAGTTTTATAACTTCAATCGAGAAGTTCTTTGTGGATAAATGATGCCAAGATGAAGGGCTTTATTTTTCTATATAACATTTGGCACTTTGGCAATAGGCCAGGCTTTTGCCAGAAAATTTTCCAAAAAAGGTGTCGCCATAATTAGCGGTAATTAGGGAGAGAGAGCTAGAGCCTACCTAGCTAGAGTATACATAGCTAAACTCTACTGTAGCTTTTTTATACATACTGTAACTATGGTATATGGTAGTAACACATAGTAGCTATGGAATACTGTAGCTAGGGGATACTCGAATTTTGATTAAGCTACACTTTTCAGGCATTTATGTGGTTGTCTGCGTTGGCATAACGTCAGTGGCTTGTATGTGCGTTGTCATTCATCCACTCGGATACGATAAGCCTAAAAACAAACAGAAAGTGGCAAATCTGAAGCAGCCAGCTAATTTCAGGACAAGGTTTGAACATTCAAAATCTCGATCCTTATCAGAGTTCGAGATTTCAGAGTTCGAGATCTAGCCGTCAAACTGAAAGACAATATTTGTCATCCTCATTTCTTTTTACAGTTTTGTTTTCATTCGTTGAATTTGGCTAGTTTTATTGTGTTTTTGTCGTTTTGGGACTGATAGAAAGAAAAGAAAGAAATTTTCTGATACTTTTATGAAATGAACTCAAATCTAGCTCTGTCAGTTAAGAGTTTAAACAAAAATGAGCAAGTGAGATAAAGACAATCATGCAAACACATAATTGAGAGCTTGAGTCGGATTTTCTGTAAATTGAAGCCATAATTGAACCACTACAGTCATCGGACTTTTTGCGTTCTTGACCCTGAAGTAATATGTTAATAAGATCAGCTTTGAATCGTATTGCTTTGCCTCTTGTTCAGCTTCGTCAATGCCCAACTCCTGACTTGATGGAAAAGGACCATTCCAAGGTCATTTTTTGCTCAAACATAGCTTTGAATGAGGATCGCCCAATACCATGATTTACCATGAAGCGGCAATTTTTCATTGATTTCATGGAAGCACTCGTGCTCATCTTGTCGACTTTTCATTTCTCAGCTGAGTACATAGAATCCTCTAAATTAGGATGGTAAATTGATTGAATTTAGATTGATTAGATATTGGGTTAAAACCATTTTTAAAAGTAACAAATTTAATGACAGTACAGTACTTGGCAATCTTGGTTTTCACGCTCGACCAATCGTTGGCTCTGTAAATGACGTTGACGCCCATGCACAACACGGCAATTTGGCCATCGATTAACCAATTATTTCACCTTAAATTGATCGTGATTTGAAGAAAGTGATTGATCATTGTTTGAAAGCATCTCTTTTCATCACGATCATTTAATAATTACCCACAATAATAAAATTCTCATTCAAACCCACACGGGTTTCTCTCTTTTGTGATCTCCATGATAACTTTGATCCAGCCACGGAACGCCGAGCTTTCGATCTATCCCGTAATTCTATTTAATTTGGATTCATAGGGACTCCTTTGATTGAGAAGAGATCTTTGTTAAACTCAAAGCGATTTTCGAACAGTATCTCTTTCGCCGGACATTTTCACTCGAATAAAGACAGATACAGCTCATTATATCTACAATACATACATAATTGCTTAATCGATAAGATTACCAAAAAAGACACAAAAAACTCCGTCTCCAGAAGTAACAGTGAGTCGAAAAAAAGCATAAATCGAATATTTGAGAACTCCAGGAACAAAAATCAAAGACAAATCGACGAGTTGAGGGACGAGAAGAGCGACCTTCACGAAGAATTGTCAGTTTCCTCATGCTGATGTCCATTGATGTTCAACACGTTTATCTAATAGTCTATTCAGGAGCGACGAGAGAGCAAGATACTTGCAACTTCAGGCAACTTTTGGGAAAACTTTTTATATGAGATTTGGAAGAAACAATTCAGAAATAAGAGAAAGATAATGTGCAGTTGTGTGTTTTCGGAAGATTCAATAAAATGGAATTTATTGGTTTCTGTCCACAGAACACAAAGCATTTATCATAACTGAGAACTCCTTTTGCAGATAAAATAACGGTGATAGGTAGGAAGAATGACCTGCCATTTCCCAGTGTGGCTGAGCTGAAATGTTTTCATTTCTGATGGAAATCCTTTGATAAAACACTTTTCGTTATTTTACAAAAAGAAGTTTACTCAGATTGATCGAAATATTTTGGGATTAATTATGCATTGGAAATTGGAATAAATATTGATGATTTCACGTTGAAAATCTCACCGCAGCCTGGGTTTTCGAATCTGGCTCTCTTTCATTCCAATTCGTGAAATCCACCGAACTTCCATCCGTCCACTCAAAAGCATTCCCTTTGTTCGGATTTCTCTGAATAAAGAAGTTTTCATGTTTAGACATTGATATTTCGATCCGATTTTCCTTTCTTATGATAGAAATTATCCTAGAAACCATTATTTCTATCAAAGGACTATCAGTCAAACGAATCATTTTTTCACAAAAAGTCTTCCTAAAAAAATGAAAGAATTATTACTCTCTATTTATTTATTTCTTGCTATAAGAGAAGTTCAGTTCAACCTTCAGTCCGATCCAGAACCAATTATACGAAGAAACAGTTTTCGCTGAAATAAATATCGGTTGTTTTTGGTTTATAAAGCATAAATTTCTACGAAA